ATGGGCCAGTCTGATCCTGTCAGTGTCTTAATGGAGACTCCCTCTCCCGAAGCAATTCCAGGTTGGGTCAGGTTGACAGTGAAAACCAAGCGGCACAACTCTACTTGACAACCGTGTGACTGACAACTTCTTTGCTCTCAGGTGGATAATCACGGCTTGTCCTGAACTTGACCCAAGAGACTCTCATGAACAGACTTGGGTTCAGAATCTGGTGTGGTCTGAGGAAAACGATATATAAAGCAGGTTGCACAGCCCAGAAGTCCCTGAAGAACCACTCTGGGTATTTTTCTAGTGTTTTGACTTTGATCCATCTCATTTCATCTCAAGCAACATCCCACTTTTCACCATACTCTGACAGTGGGGTCCGAGAAATGCTCTTGCCACCTCCTCCAGGTTTGTGGGGATCCTAGAAACCTGGCAGGCTTCCTACCTTCCTGAGAGGAAGACCATAATTATACAATTGTATAGAACAGGAAAGAGAATAGCCAAGGACCATGTGTGGATGCCAACTCCATGCCCTGGTCCAGGTCCTCTTCCACTCTTCTAGACCCTAGCAAGGGGAAAGGACAGGGCTGGGCAAGACAGGAGGTCCAGATAAGAGGTGTCTCCCCAGAAATGTTGTTTGATTTCATTTGCTACTCGTTAGTTCTTTTCAGTCCTCAGACAACTCCCCGACCCTTTCATCTAATGAGACGAGAGGCCAAGAGACAACTCAGGGCAGGAGAGCTCACCGATTAGATTAGTTCACTGGTGACAGATGCCTTCTCTGATCTGCCATGCTCTCGGCTCTGAGGCTCTTACCAGAAGTTAGTATGTTTCTTTGATGCTTTGATGCGCACTGACTCCACCTACTCCTGCCCTGCCCATCATCTGCACTGGCCTCCGGCTGTGGCTTCCTCTTTTGATTTCAAACCAAGACTCAATATCCTCAGTGGGGAGTAAATTCATATATTTTCTTTTCCAAGAATCAGTCTTTATTTTTCCCTATAGATTCTTTGTTTTCAAAGAATAAGTGAATCGGACAATCTGCCAGTTATAATTAAACGTTTTTGCAAGTGACAGACCTAAACTTAAAAATTAAAACTATAAAATGAGGGCTGGAAGGATGGCTCAGTAGGTAAAGTACTTTGTCACCAAGCCTGATGACCTAAATTTGATTCTCACACTTTCCATAGTGAAAGGCAAGAACAGATTCCTTCAAGCTGTCCTCTGACTTCCACATATATGGTGTGGCACATGTGTACACACACATGTGCACATACACATCACTCAAATAAATAAATGTTTCTTAAACATATTTTTTTAAAAAGACTATAAATGGCCAAAAACTAGGGTTTTATCAGTATGAGCTGGCATGTTTTTCTCATTGAATTGTTTAATTCATGTAAAGAGCTTTTATTTTTTTAATTTTATTTAGATTTAACAGGATTTCTTTTAAGAATTTAAATATACTGAAAACATTGCAAATTACATTACGCTCTCAATAGCATTAGACTAGACTGGGTTTTCTGAGACTTCCTGCAGAATTCTTGGCCATGCGATCTCATGTGATTCACTCAGTCTTAGGTCTGCGTCTATAAAATGGGGATAATAACTTACCCCCTGTGATTGTGGGGCTGATTTTAGGCAATGCACATTAAAGTGCTTTGTAAAGCTTTTCATGTAACTGCACATATGTGTGCCTGGTGCTGTCCCTACTGTTTCCAAGGCCTGTTCAAAGTCATCATGAGACCTTGTCTATTCACTTAACCTTAGCTTTTCATCTCAACCTCTGGGCTTTAAAACCCAGTGTCTCTTGCTTCCTCTCTCCCAAATCCAGTCTCTTCTGCATTAAGAAGCTCTCAATTCTGTGGTGATATATTGTACACCCTAATAAAATTTGCCTGAAGGTCAGAGGACAGAACAAGTCACTAGATTAAACATAGAAGCCAGGCAGTGGTGGCACACACCTTTAATCCCAGCACTTGGGAATCACATGCCTTTAATCCCAGCACTAGGAAGGAAGTGATATGGCTGGGTGGAGAAAGGTCTATAAGGCGTGAGGAGACAGGAACTGGAGCCCCTTCCGGCTGGAGGCCTTTTGGCTGACCCTTTTCAGCTGAAGCTTTTTCGGCTGAGAACTCAGCGGCATTAAGTGAGAGGATTCGTGGAGTTGGCTTGTGAGACGTGGCAGTGAATTGTTCCTTTGTCTCTCTGATTTTTCAGCATTTATCCCAATATCTGGCTCTGGGTTTTTTATTAGAAGACCCTTAAGAATTGGGGTTACCAAGTTCAGCTTTGGTTGGTAGGGAGGCTCAGGCTGGACACAGCAGACATGGGAATCGGCTGTGCAGCGCTGGCTGGGATGCTGTCGACTTCAGTTACTGTAAGTGTTGAGCACCCCTAGTCGCCTGCAGTGTTCGTCAGCTTGTTTTCTACAAAGCCTCTAAAGAGAAGAGTCACTGGGCCGGAGAGATGGCTCAGAGGTTGAAAGCACTGACTGCTTTTCCAGCTCGATTCCCGGCTCAATTCCCAGCACCCACATAGCAGCTAACAACTGTCTATAACCAAGATCTGACATTCTCACACAGACATACATGCAGGCAAAACAGAAATGCACATAAAATAAAAATAAATTACTTTTTATAAAAGTGAAGAGGAATTACTACACTTATGGCTAGGGTTTTGACTTAGCATCTCAGAGGCTTCCAGGCAGACTACAGAGGGTGATAAAAGGTGTGGGAGCTCTCCTTTGTACAGATTGGACTCACCACAAATCCACAAAATCAAGATTCCAGATAAAATGTTTCAGCCTAGAAAAATATGAAAAATATTATGGGGAGCCCCAGAGCCCTGTAACTGCACATTGTTATGAGAATCAGAAGTACAAAAGGGTGTCTGCATTGGGGGAAAGATATGAGAAGATGTTTGGACTAGAAGAAGAACCCACCCTTCAAATTCCCAAGAACACCCTTCCAGTGAATGAGAACTGAAAGCTGATAAACACTTGACACACATCCAGCCTCCGAAACAGCCACAAAGACTCCCACAGAAGAGAGCACATCCACCACCCACCTCAAGAGCACTGGGAAACGGAGAGTGTGGGAGCAGCTGAAGCCCACGGAGCAGAGGGCTGAATCCTGAAACCACGCTGCTTCTGATTACAAGATGCGGTCATTGAAAAGAAACTGCTTTTGGTAAAATAAATTTTAAATCCAGTTGTTTTCACTGACAAAGAGGAGGAGGAGGAGGAGGAGGAGGAGGAGGAGAAGCAGCTCCAAGGTTAAAACAGAACCTGGCCCTTTTTCCCACAATTTCCCTTTGCCAACATTTTAGATGCACACAACCCCTCTACCTCCTCAGTGGCCCAGGCCCCAAAGTTTGGGGTCACTCTCCTCTCACCTCTCCTCTCACCTCTATCTGATGTCGAGTCCACTGAGGTTCTTTCCAAACACAGGCCTTCCTTTCACTCCCCCTGCCAACCTCCTCATCCGGATCTGCACACCTCAGATTAGAAGGACACGGTCTGTGGCTAACTGGCATACTCTCGTATCTAAAAGCATGCTGGGCAAATAACGGCTGTTCGATACAGGCTTGCTGGATGGAGGAGTGGCAGCTAAGCCACCTGATGGCGCCCGGGCCACTGCTGGTAATCCAGCTGCTGCTCTCGCTAGACTGTCCTCAGCCACTGTCCACTGCATTTCCAGAGTCGTCTTTACAAAACAGCACTCCCATTAAGTCATCAGCGCTTCCTCCTTTCTAAGAAAACGGTTTAGACTTTACTCTTATTCAGTCTGTCCCTGCTCTTCCTGCCCATTTTTCTTCCCCAGCTCCCTCCACCAAGCTGACTCGTCTCCCTGATGAATAGACCTTCTGTGATCACTCTCTACGTGGTCTTCATGCGTGTTATATCATTCTCCCTGGAAAACGCTCCCTTTTCCTTTTAGTGTGCCTGAGCTCATGAACAACTTTACCCTTAGACTCTCTAGAATAGGCTAGAGTGCCCTCTTCATGCTCCAATCTGCTGTACTTGAGTCTCCATTTAACCAGGTGCCACCATGTACTGCAATGTTCACCAAGTTAAAGTCTTTGCTCTGAACTTGGATTCTTTTGAATCCCATGGGGCACCAGCCACAGTGCTACCCAGAGAAGAGATTCCTGGAAGCCTCTGTAATCTGGATTAAATATGGGCTGATACATGGTCCTACTCCAGAGATCTCATCTATTTCCCCTTCCCAAGGTGATCCATGAGTCCCTCTTAGGGTTCTACTTGTTAGCTAGCTTCTCTGGAGCTGTGGGTTGTAGTCTGGTTATTTTTCCGCTTAACATCTAGAATCCACTTATGAGTGAGTACACACCATGTTTGTCCTTCTGGGTTTGGGTTACCTCACTCAGGATGATATTTTCTAGTTCCATCCATTTCCCTGCAAATTCCATTATGTCATTGTTTTTTACAGCAGAGTAGTACTCTATTGTGTAGATGTACCACATTTTCTTTATCCATTCTTCAGTTGAGGGGCATCTAGGTTGATGCAGGGGGAGGGGCTTGGTCCTGCCTCAACTGAAGTACCAGGCTTTGTTGATTCCCCATGGGAGGCCTTACACTTTCAGAGGAGGGGATGGCACTGGGGGGGGGCGTAGCAAGAGGAGGGATGGGAGGGGGAATCTGTGGTTGGTATGTTAAATGAATAAAAATTTTCTTAAATTAAAAAAAAAAGCGGTCTTACTCAGGATGAAAAGAAAAGAGAAGGGGAAAGGAGGAGAACGAGGCTTTAGATTCAAACAGCTGGATCCAAGTGGAGATAGAGAGAGCGTCGGTGTATTGATACAGCCAAGAATCATTGATGAAGGCAGCCATGCTTGCTCACCCTTGTAATCTAACACTAGGGAGTCGGAGGCAAGAGGATCACTGTCATTTGAAGCCACCATGATGGTGACACAATATTCCTGTACCATGTTGTCCCCAGCCCTTTCTGCTTCCAGAGGCTCCCAGATGGAATGAATTTTCTTCTATTCCGCAGATTGAGAACCTCATGGGTGTCCATGTGATAATGGACCCGAAAGGCCAATGGTAACTGTGTGACTGACACTGGAAGTGGATCCTCGCCCATCTCCCAGGCAGCTGCCTTCCCTTCCCTTCTCCATGCTGTCTTAAAGGGGACTGTTCCAGTCAGCGCTGAGACTGCGAGAGACCCTGAGGCAGAGGCTCTTAGCAGGGCTGTGTCTATATGTATTCCTGAGAACAAACTATGAGATAATAAGTTCTGGTGTCCTAAGATATTAAGCCCAGAATATCTGTTACAAAGCATTAATAATGGGCCGGGCAGTGGTGGGGCACACCTTTAATCCCAGCACTCGGGAGGCAGAGCCAGGCGGATCTTTGTGAGTTCGAGGCCAGCCTGGTCTACAGAATGAGATCCAGGAAAGGCGCAAAGCTACACAGAGAAACCCTGTCTCAAAAAAACAAAACAAACAAAAAAAATTAATAATGAATGCCTAGGTGGTACTCCATCTAGGAAGTAAGGATAAAATTGTGGTGAATATGGAATAACCTGATAGGACAGATACTCATGTGTGCAAGGCTAGGGAGACGTGGGGATGACAGGACAGGGTAACCTCTATCAAAGGACAAGCAGTACCTGTGTCACTACCTTCATGGTTGGGGACAGGGGAGGACAGAGTCAATGCCTACTCAAAGCTCTGCTCCCCACTAGACAGCACTGGGACTTGACTCTGTCCACACCTCTCCATGTCTCCTTGCACAGTTTCAGAACACTGCCTTTATTGCTTACCATCAGTCCCATATGCCAGGTCCATATTCAAAACACAAAGAAGAGTGAGTCACAGGGACTTAAGACTAACCACCAAGCTTAATCTATATTCGCTCATTAGGAGGCCCATGGCAAGACTGCTCTTTTGAACTCAGTTTGAATTCAATAAATCATCTCTTAGGCTATAGTACATAAGGGGTATTTCAACCAAACTATATTTTTTTGCATACTATAGATACCAAATTACTTTTAAGATTCATTTTATATGTATGTGTGTTTGTGTGAATTGTATACACTGTGTATATTAGAGGAGGGAGGCCTCCGCAGAGGCCAGGAGAGGGTGTCAAACCTCCTGGAGCTGGAATCACAAGAACTGAACCCAGGTCCTCTAGAGGGGTAGTACGCACTCTTAACCTTGGATCCAAATCTCCAGCAAATTACTTTAGTAATAAAGCACATACTAGAAGTATAAAACTGTAAACAAGTACCACGTGATCTGAACAGGATAAAACCCAACCCATTTCCATTTAAACGTTTCCTTGAAGAATTTTTAACCATTTCTCATCAAAAAGCAACAGCAACCTAGGACCCCAGAAAACTGCCATGCTGCCAAGCAGCAGGCCCGAAAGAGGCCTCCAAGCAAGTAAGTACCCCTCAGTTCCAAATTCTGACACAAACTTCAGGCATTTCCCCCAAGAGATAAAAGGCTCTTGGTGGTATTTACTTTGGGCTGTAACATGGCTGTTTTACTTACCATTTGGAAGTCAGAGGAGACTGTAAGCTTTTGTCCACAGGAGCCATTAACACCTGGTGGTTTACAATATCTAGATACTTCTCAATGTGAATCTGTTAGAGAGAAGTCAAAGCTCAGGCCATTATGGTGGATGTAAAAGACTCAGCTAATTTACTTCATTTCATTAGGTCAATACTTTGATTCGTGTAATTAAGCCCCCCCAAAATGCATAAAACATTGTGTGTTATTACATGCCTAAGGTATCATTAGGCACCTCAAGGCCAAATTACTTCAAATGTCCCAAAAAACATAAGGAACAATTGAGACTCAAAGCTTACGTAACCCGCAGCCCTCATCACAAATGAAACTGCATCGACGTCAGTAGACAGCCTGGCTATGGAGATCTGACCCGGCACACTGACATGGAATAAAAATGTCTTTGTCCTACATGAGCTGCAAGCAGTCATCTGAGGAAGACAGCCTGGTGGTCCCCCTAAACCCAGCCCTGCTAAAGAACGACATAGGGTCCCGTGACAACCACCAGTTCTTCCTTCTCTTTCTGGGATCTAATTGCCTGCCCAAAGCTTTACTTACTTTTAATCCCGTTTCGGTCCTTTGGATTGCTGTCTCAAGATTTTGAATGTCTAGGGGGTCTTTTGTCTCCTCACTTGAGAATTTTGTTAATTTCTCCTTTAATTGATGAAGGTCCTCATGGACCTGAATGAAAAAATAATAATAAATAAATAAATGATAGATAGATTGAAGTATGTGTTGTCTACCTATTGCAAATTTTGTTGTTGGTTTTTGAGACATGGCTTTATGCAGTCTGGGCTAGCCTTGGATTTTTCACTAAGTAGCCAAGGATGACCTCGAACTGCCTCATCCTGCTGCCTCCACCTCTAGAAACTGGGATTATAGGTGTGCACCAACACACTGGTTTTTATTCAGTGCCTGAATAAAATTCGGAGACTGAATCCAGGACGAGGCAACAGTCTAGCAACCGAGCCACATGCCCAGCCCTGCAGTTACGGACAGTACAGACCTACGGTGGGCGTGAGTTACAGACACACGTGGCTCTGTGGTATTCATTAAAAAGCACTGCCTCCGTGGCTAGGACAGCCCTTATTAGGAGGGTTCTACCATCATCTCAGAGTTGGGACAAGAAGCCTTCCGTGCCATTTCTGTTTTGTGTTGCTACTAGAAACAGAGTCACGATGGAAGGGTAGCTGGGGTGGCTCCTGCTCCCCCAGGTGGTCAGGCCAGAGAGGGTGAGTCTGCACCAGGCTCTGATTGCTTCAGATGGGTTAAGGTAAGAAAACGGGAACTTCCAGCCCAAGTGAGGCCCTAGCAGAAGCGACTCTCTCAAGAGGACAGCAAATGTGCCCACAGGGCCCGGTGGCTTTCCGTGCTCGCAGGCTCTTCCACACACTGCTCTGAGGAAGCAGTTCTGTCTGTGTGCCTTTGATTTTGTTTTGCTTAGTAAGAAACGGAAATAATCCATGAAGCGGGTGGGGAGAAAAGCAGTATGTGCCATTGCTTCAGCTGGCCCTGCTGAAGTGTGTTTTCCTTGGAAATGGTGAACATGTTTCCATCAGGCACCCTCGGGATCGAATCGGCATCATGACACAAGGAAGCGGCTGACTCTCTGCGTGCATATTAGACACCAAACTTCAGATAAATGCAGATGGCACTGATTATTTCGTGGGTTGCTGCCACAAGGAAAACGTTTTGTTATGCTAATTCACAACCCCAGACACCTGTTTCAGCAACAATCACACCAAGAGCGCTCTGCAGACCGGGTTGCTAAAGGCATTTTGAAAAGTCTACCTATGCTCTGGTAGGATAACTGGACTTGCACATTGGTCCAGCCTGTTACTGTTTACTTGGGGATGTTCCCACGGAACCCAGTGCCATATTCAAGAGGCAGAATTTGCATCTTTTCACTGATGCACATCAAAGTCTGGCAGACACATCTGATTATTTGTACTCTGCTCAAATCGTCACACAGAGCCTCCAGGGCTCACAGATTGATACTTGAACACACTCACTGCTTGCCTGTAGGGACCAATGATGAAGAGGCATGTCTTCTGAGCCTTGTGTCCAAATCACCGCTGTGACCTGATTTGCCATCTACTGCTTGGAAACATGTGCAGTGTAAGGGGCAGTTCAAGGGGACAGCCTTACATTTTGGTTCCTCCTAGGAGTGAACTGGCTCTCTCTTCTGTAATTGCACTTCCAGGGATCTTTCTATAATGATGTCTTCCAGTCGTGTGAGGGAGTGAGACGGAGTTGAATTATTCACCAAGGTCCCAAAGGTTTTGGTTTTCCTCATCTGGCCCTTGTCTGGGCAACAACACTCCTGCATAGAGTTGTGAGGGAACATGTGACAGGCCCAGCACGGAAGAACCCCAGAAACGGCAGCTGCACGGAGCTCCTCGCACTGACTCTAAGCATCCAGTTTCCCTGTATATTATCCAGAATTTTAGCACCTCCTCTAGATGTTTTGTCTTTTTGTTTGTTTGTTTGTTTGTTTGTTTTTGCCAGAACAGAATCATTTTCCTATTTTTTGGAATTAGTGAATGAAAGTGGAAACAATGGGTATAACAATGAAGCAATACAGACTTTGTTGCCACATGCATGTGACCTGGACTCTTGCCTGAACTCGGGAAAGTTCTCACCTGGAAATAGGGATTCACACTAGCTACTTCAGAACGGGAGTCAGAAATGATCTGTAACGTGTTTGGTGTAGCTGAGCCACAGAGGAGGGTGTGGGACCCTGCTCCCTGGATTGAAAGCCCTAGCAAAACTCACTGCATGTGGCCAGCTGATACTCGATCCTATTGCTGAGTGAAGTTGCTGGCTTCACTTTCTCAAGAGGGTTCTTGGGTTCTTGCCAGGTTATTTTGTCCTCTCCTCTTAAGATGACCTGTTTGTGTGACTGCACCAGACAAGCTCTGTGGGAAACATCACACCAGACCTGGCAGGAAATGAAGTTAAATTCTAAGTTTCCGTTTCTTTAGTTACGTCTAATCTGCCATTTTGAAATTTTACAGGTCAGTCATTATCTCTATGAACATAGAAAACATTACTTGCCATACAGTTTCTACTTAGAAACTATTAGTGTTTTGACAGTCTGGGGGTGTAGCCATTATTAATAGAAACCCTTGAAAGGCTTAATGCAGCAAAGATTTGCTGTAGATCCCGAAAGATCCATGACACCAGATGCCACACAGTCGTGAGCAATGTAAAATTCCACTTTGTTCACTTCTACTCAGCACAAATGTTGGCTGACTCATCCTCATATCTTGGAGTTACTCTTGACCTTGCTCATTTTGGTGTTACATGTGTGTATTATAAGCCATACACGGGTACTGATGAGAAAGCCAGGGAAGACATCAAGCTGTCAACTTAGCTTCGTTGTTTCCAAGCTATGTGTTAAGATATCACTGCTGGACTTCAGCAATATACTTTCCAAAACTGATTAAAAAGGTGATTTTGATGGAAAGACCAGGGATCCTTCGCTGTAGGAACAGTATGTTAAATATACAGATACAAAGACACATACGCATCTACACACGTGACCTATTGAAGGATCAACACACAGTGGATGTTACCACTTAGATCAAATTACTTTATGTGTTTGTTCTTGACTTTCTTCTATAGACTGAGGCCTAATGCTAGCCTAGCATGGTTGGTAGGGCCCCATGAGATAGCCCAGAGCTCCCATCAGGGCCTGGCTCTCCCATATGCTGCCTATGACCCTCCTTGGATTCAGTTAAAATTATAAAAATACCTAAATTATAGGCCCTAAAGCAAAAGAAGTTGTAGTTAACAGAATGTTGCCAAATAGAACTCCATGAAGATCCAGTTCTCTGGTTCCCATATCTGACAATGGGCAGAACACTGACAACTGGAATGACTGTGGAAAGCAAGCACTAGCTTTCCTGGCAAGCCACCAGATAGTCGGATTACAACAGTATTAACTGTGTTGAAGTCAGCTCTAAGTACTTCAGATCTGTTCTCAAGTTCTTCTGTCTTGCTTTGTTTTCTGTTGCTGTGGTGAACACCGTGATCAAAAGCAACGTGGAAGGAGAGGGAGTGTTTCATCTTCCAGTTACAGTCCATCTTTGAGGGACGCTAGGCCAGGAACTCCAGCAGGGCTGGAACTTGAAACAGAAGCCATGGGAGAACTCCGTTTACTGCCTTCTTCTCCCTGGTCCACACTTAGCCTGTTTTCTTACACAACCCAGAACCATCTGCCCAGGGGTGGCACCATGCACAGTGGGCTGGGCTCTCCAACACCAATCAGCAATCCAAAAATATCTCAGACTTGCCTACAGGCCAATCTGATGGAGGCAGCCCCCTATGTGAGCCTCCAGGGATAATTCCGGGCTCCGTCAAGTTAACAACGGAAGCTACCTATACCTATGTCTGTTCCATTCATAGAAAAGGGGCTCTGTGTCTGTTAAATGTTAGGTCCGCTCTAATCACTTGTTTTTACTTTCTGAGAATTTAATTATCACAGAATCCTTCCTTAAAAAAATCAACCTATACAGTTTTACAAGTAAATGTCTAGTTTCTAACATAGATCATCTTTTCATGCACTCTACATATACACACATAAATGTAAGAGTCATGGACTGTTGATGAAGGAATAGTGAACAGAAGGGTGCCTAATAGGCCTCTGTGCAGAATAAAGGAATGCTGTCATCATCCCTTACCCTCCAACTTCTGCTCACATTGTGTGGAGTCACAAGTCACACCACGGAGCATAAATAAGTTTGGATTGCTCTTTTAAATGCGACAGTAAGCTCTGTGGTGTGAAATGGACCTGTGCTTCCGTTAGAGTCTGATGCTAACCCAGGGAAGGGCATGTTTCTTGAACCCTTTGATGCTTATGGCTCATGACCACATCACTTAGTCACGTGACCTGACCCAGTGTCAGGGGGTCTTTATGTGGACGCAGAGGAAGTAAAGGTTCCTAGCAGGCCACGCTGCAAACATTTGTAGAAAGGATGGAAAAATGGTAGAAACCCATGAGGAAACTTACTAGATGACACAGTCTAAGTTCTGAAAGTTCTAATTAAGGAGGTGATTTGAGGATACTGCTTTCAGGCTGTTCACAGGTATCATATTCTTTTCTTTTTGATAGTGATTCTTCTCTGGTTTAATTCAAAATTAAAATTGAGGTTGACTATTTTAAAGTTATACCATTTGAAACAATCTTAAAATCAATTAAGGTTTTATATTCCAAGCCCACTTGAAATAGAATTAGATAATTATGAATCGGTTGCTGGTAGTTCTCTCCACCTTCCCCAGAGCAGCTGTGACTATTCACAAGCATCCCTCAGGCCTGGCCATTAGCATCCCTCATAGAAGATGGAGGTGGGGAGGCATCAGACTGAGATTTCAGTCACTCCTTCCTACACCCTGCATGCAATCCTTCCCAAGCAGCATGTGACCTCATGGTTTCCAGATTGAGGTCTATACAGTGTAGAAGGTTAGTTAAAGTAGAGGATTCCATGTGTTCAGCTTTAAGGAAGCTGTTTATGCTGGAGTCAGACGTGGGGGATTCAGATGTTTGGGGGTCACCTACACTTCTGGAAGTAATCCCAGTAAAACTGGTTGTTCATCCAAGCTAGATTTGAGTAGAATCATTACTTTGGTGCCTGTCTTAGTTAGGGTTTTATTTCTGTAAGGAGGCATCATGACCACCACCACTTTTATAAAGGAAAACATTTCACTGGGGTGGCTCGATTACAATCGGAGGTTTAGTCGTAGGACCCATGGGCTCATAGCCAGTTCGTCTGACGTGAGGGTTACCCTGGAGATTCATAACCTTGCAGTTGGTGTCAGAGTGAAGGCACTAGGGGTCTGTCATCCCCCTCCCCCGCCCCCATGTTCTAGTTTGGCTAAACTCATCAGAGGGTAAATTATTGAGAAGGATACAAGGTAAGATTTTAGGTCCAATTCCTAACAGGAAGTCTATGAAACTGATGAGTTTAGGGTTTGTGTTTCTTCTAGAAGTGACTGACCTTCCAGGAAATTATTTTAAGCCTCAGTCAAAAGGAGCAAAATATGAGTTAGAAGTTACAGTAAGTGAGGAAACATCTTAACGTGACCATATCGAAACTTGGAAAAAACAAAATACCTTAGCTATTTCAGAAAAATCTGTTTAACTGTCACAAACTGAATTTTTACTGAAGGAGCCAAGATTTTGAAAGCGTTCTCCCTAGATTATAAAGATATTTCCCTTTGTGCCACATTTCTATATTGATTTGTAGTTCAAGTTATCTTTAATACATGTTTGGTGTGTGTTCCCAGGCAAGCTGTGTATATTTCAGGTTAAGAAGCATAGATTCCCATATTTCACTTTCTCTTCGAATTCCTCACTCACTTCCTAATGAGACTCTCCTCCACACCCTCAAGTCATGGACTTTAAACATTCCGCAATGTATTTTTTAACGGTGCCCTGAACACTTGAGCCTCAGATTTATTACCGCAGCTACTCGGGAGGCCGAGGCAGGAGGGCCACCAGTTTGAGGCCTGCCTGAACTGCAGAGCGCGCTGAAAGACAGCCTGATTTAATGGCCATCTGGCCGAAAAGTAAAAGGAGGGGTGGAGATGCAGCCTCATGGTAGCGCACTTGCTTAGCGCTCGCCTAGCCTGTTCTGTGTTCTGAGCAAGAAGCCCGAAAGTGTAGTTGTGTTTCCTGCTCTGAGTGTGTGAATGGCACTGCTTGGGGCGCACAAGCGACGCTTGGAGGCTCGCGGGGAGGTCTGGCCGGCCGACGGCCCGGCCGGTTTCCCACCTGGATTAGGATGGATCCGATGGGGTCGCTGCCCTCCACACCCTGCGCCATGGCTGCGGCGGGCTGAGGACACCTGTCCCGGGAGGTGCGGGCCTCCCGAGCGCTTCTAGGAGGCGGGGGCGGGGGTCTCCATGGCAACGCGGCGCGCGGCCGGCGCACGCCACTGGAGAAGCGGAAGGGGGGTGGGCTGGCTCTGCGGCGGCCCCGCCCAGAGCGCGCGCCCGGAGCGTCTCCCCCGCGCTCGCCGGCCGCAGTGGTGCGGCCCAAGGCGGAAGCGACGCCGGCGCGGAACTCGCTCCGCCGCAGCCATGGCTGCGGGTGTCCCCTGTGCGCTGGTCACCAGCTGCTCCGCCACCTTCACCGGGGACCGGCTGGTGCAACGTGAGTAACCGGGCGCCTGGGCCGGGCTGCAAGGCCCAGCTCGGAGCGACGGGCCCAGGGCCGGCGGCCTCTGTCTGGCCCTGCCTGCGCTGGGCCCCGAACTCCGGCTCCTCCGCAGGTGTCTGCGCCCAGGTGTCTCATCCTCTTCCTGTGTCAAGTGAGGCCAGTCTCTGACCTCCAGTCTCAGGGGTGTGGCGAGCATCCCCTAACATGACACTCAAGGGCCCTGGAAATGGTGACTTTAAACGAAATGTAAGGCGCTGGAGTGAACTGAAGTGCTCAGGAAAAAAAAAAAAAAAAAAAGAAAAAGCTAAATGTCCTTCCAGGGTGATCGACTGACCAGAATTCCTGTGATTGTGGGGAGCTGGAATTTTACTAACTGTAACTCTTTGCCTGGCTTTAGGCCCCTTCATGGCCATCTGTTGCCTACCTCCGTGTCTGACCTAATATCCTTGTGACTATCCTTAAAGTCCTTTGGAAACAAGCAAACAGACCCATAGCTTCCACCAATCCAAAGGCTAAGAATGTTATCAGATAGTATTTGAGGCCTACAGCACAGGCTTACTCCATTTACAGCAATCCACCTACCTGATGTTCCCACTGATGTATTTTTAAAACACCCTGATTTAAGGCTTTGTTTTTGTTGTTGTTACTATAAAAAAAAAACATCGTGAAATCGTTACCATGTTGGAACATGGTACTTGAGGCAACCCCAATTCCTGTTCCCTGTCCATAGTCACTCGTGTTTGGCTCCAGAATAAACTCATTCCCTTTGAGGTGAGAGCTGTGGGCATTCTTGACTTGGGTGGATGGATGGATGATAGGTGGGTGGATGGGAAGGTCGGTCGGTTGGTAGGTAGGTAGATAGATAGGACTTGTTAGGTGCCCCCAGACTTGCAGTTAAATGTCTCAACTTCCTCCTGAGGTGCAGGTTCTCCAGCAAAGTGAGTTTGGAGTGTTACTGCACCCAGTGACTTTGCTTCTGGACCCTAAGCATAGCTATCAAATTCAAGTGTTTTTCCTTTGGGGTGTGTGTGTGTGTGTGTGTGTGTGTGTTTCTGTTTAATTCCCACTGCCCTGTGCGTACTAAGCCTGACAGTGTATCACTGAGATAGATACACTCCAGCCCCAAAACTAATGAGCCTTGAAATGTGGATCAGAGAGACTAGTGAGGTAGGAAGAGCTAAGGAGCCAGCTCATGGCCAGTATTATCACTCTAGGGCCCTGTGCAGTAGAGGTGTATCGAACTCATGACTTCTGTTTCAAATGTGTGGTGTTGACTTTTCGCTGTATGACTGTGGGCAGGTCACCTAACCTCTGTCCCTCAGGTTCCTATCTGTGGGATGAGAACAAGTCTTAGAGGATTGTGTTTCACCAGAGGCTAGCATGTACGAAACACTGGATAGGTGGTTGGTATTATCATACAAGCGGATCATGCTTAATTCAGGGATTGCTGACCCTTAGCGGGCATATGAACAGGCGTTTCAAGAGACGGTTGATGTTGGTTTGCAAATGTGTCGAAACCGGTAAAGCAGTTTGCAGTCTGTAATTATTTTTTACACCTGTTGACAAGGTTGGGCACGCTGTCCTCCCAGCACAGATATTCTATAATTTGCTTATTGCGAACACCTAGTGGATCGTTAGGGTGAAGGCTTAATAACAGCACTCAGGAAATGGTAACCAAACTCTCTTCTCTTCCCTTACCTCCGGCAAGCAGTTCTCCCTCCCTCCCAGCAGGTCTCCCATCCTTTCCCCTTATATTGTTTCATCTTGAAAAATGCGTACTCTATAAGTAAAATTCAGCGTATGGAGAAAAAAATGCTAGCCAACATTTTGGCGGTGTTCTTTGCAATCTCCCCTGGGCCCCTGCATACTTCCTGTATTTTTGTAATTATTGTAATTATATACTTCTACTTCATATATAGTTTCTAGCCTGGGGTGTGTGTAGTAGAATATTTCAAGGTGTGTTACTTTTGTTTACATTGCATTTGTTTAACTCTGTGAAGCTGTGTTACTTTGCCTGTCTGAAACACCTGGTGGTCTAATAAAGAACTGAACAGCCAATAGCAAGGCAGGAGAAAGGATAGGCGGGGCTGGCAGACTGAAAAAAGAAGAAGGAAAAAAAACTGGGTGGAGAGATCAAAGATCTAGGAGCCAGAGAAGGAGGAGGACTCCAGGGGCCAGCCACCCAGCTACACAGCAAGCCATGGAGTAAGAGTAAGATTTACAGAAGTAAGAGAATGGGAAAAGCCCAGAGGCAAAAGGTAGACAGGATAAGTTAAGGAAAGCTGGCTAGAAACAAGCCAAACTAAGGCCGGGCATTCATAAGTAATAATAAGCTTCCGTGTGTGATTTATTGGGGAAGTGGATGGCAGGCTCCCAAAGAGAGCAAGAAACCTCCATCAATAGGGGTGTGTGTGTGGTGTGGGGATGGATCCCACGGTCTTGCACATGCTAAGCAACGACTTTGCTACTGAGTTGTACACTCATCTCCTGTCCTGAATTTTTAATTTTAACATTAAGTCAAAAATTGCTTCCTGTTGTACGTCCGTATATTGAATATACCATAATTTTCTTAAGGTCTATATGAGTCTATATGTATCCGACTTTCTACAAGATTTATATGGATTTGGATTCCTGTTAGTGATAGATGAATGCTCTTTCAAAGCCAGGCTCAGGAATATCATATTTTCTGAGAGCTAAGGTACTCCGTCTCCCTCTTACCCCACAACAGGGTCTTAGTGGCTCTGAACTTGCAACCCTAGTGTTGAGTCCACAGGCGGGCAGCACCATGCCTGGCCCTGGCCTGCCCTTCAGAGATCAGAACCGGCAAACGTGATCAGTGCCTTGAAGGAGCTGATCACCAGGAGCTGGCAAACGGCGTTCTTCCACCGTCCTTCTACCGAGACTTTTAACGTTATTGGGGGTTCTTGTATAATATTAGAGGAACCAGCCTCAATATTATTCATCCCAGGGGCTCAGGAGAGAGAACTACTAACGGCGAGGACTATTTTCAGGAAATAGAATCTCAGCACACCGAGTTCTATAGTCCACTTGCTTTAATTCCTCTGGCATAACATCCTTTATACACAGCTTCAGTTCTGTTCTCATGTCTAGCTCCTTTCTTGCCTAATTTCTCTATATTTATCTACTGTCCCCTCTAGGTTCTATCTTAATTCCTTCATCTAGTTCTGTCCCTTCTAGGTTCTCATCTATCTAGTTCTTTCCCCTATCAGCTCCTCTTCCATCTCCTTCTCGCTCATCTGGTTCTTCCTCATCTTGTTCTTCCCCATCTGGCTCTTCCTCATCTTCCATCTTGTTCCTCTAGTCCTCTCTTTTAGCCCTTCAATCTAGTTCTTCCCCATCTCAGTTTGTTCCTCTGAAGTTCTTACCCATCTAGTTCTTCCATTCTCTTATCTCTTCTCTCCCTTGTGCCCTGGAAGTCCTGGTATATAAAAGGGAGGGTCCGAGCTAAATTGTGTAAAGCTATTACTTAACGTCCACCTCTCCTAGGCAGCGTCTCCTTGTGGAATTTACCTTAAGTCAGGAGACTTGCATGTGGGCTGTTACCATTGTTAGTCCACCTGGGACTAACAATGGGCGCCCACCTGGGTGGTGTTTTCTGTAGTCCTTGAAAGTGGCCAAGGGAGATAATCTGATTCCAGAGAAAGCCTTTCCTGAGGCTGTTCTCCAAATACCTGGAATGTGTATGTCCAGAGAGTGATCAGTCTACACTGTTAGTCCTTCTTAGGGGAAAGTCAATTGGAAAAACTATGAAGGCACACATGATTTTCATAACAGAATACAGCTGATATATAACAAGCCAAGTAACACCAAAAACTCCTTGGGATTTGGCTTCCTCTGGAGGAATTCCCTGATTCCTCCAGGTAGTGACTTTGCCATAACCAGCTGAGTTCTTATGATATATTTCTGCAGCCCGCAGCAGGGGGTAAAATTCTGTGAACTAGCTTTTTTTTTTTTTTTTCTGTATGCAAAGTATCTTAGGTAACTCCAATTCTTGTTAAAAGTAGGTGCCCCACTAATTAGGAAGGCAAGACCAGAATGGCCAGCAGATTATTTGACTAAGAGAGGCATACGAGAGGGCTGGTCGGTTCTTCCATGTCTTGGAAGAACCAAGAAGCCGAGATAGCATCAGGATGAAGTATTCACATGACATTTACTGTTTTACCATCATTAAAGACTAAGTTACATTATTCAGGGGATGAATTTAATTTAAGATGGGTTGGGCGGTGGTGGCACACACCTTTAATCCCACACTCAGGAGGCAGAGCCAGAAGGATCTTTGTGAGTTCGAGGCCAGCCTGGTCTACAGAGCGAGATCCAGGACAGGCACCAAAACTACACAGAGAAACCCTATCTCAAAACAAAACAAAACAAAACAAACAAACAAAAGGAATAGAAGATGGAGATTACCATGATGAATAAATGACTTTGATCTAGTTAGGATGAATGAATGTCTTTGGTCTAGCTAGGATACAGGTTTTGGGTTGAATCTGATGTACTTTGAAGGGACAGTTTCCTTGCTTGGAAGAGGAATCTGCCTTGGTCATCAGTCTTTCCATATCTGATCTGTTTTACTCTTTTGACCAACAATGGAAAGTACTTTGTAATCAAATATCAAGTTTGTTAGAAACTCCCTTTAAGAATCAGTAGGACTCGACTGTAGATAAAGTACCCAAATGGACTGCGTCAAACCTCTAAGATTTATTTACAGTACTCCAGTTAGATGCATACT